CTAAAACTTTGGTAAACTTAAAAACATTACTCGATGAGGATTGCACGGTGATAGGGAAAGGAAATATAAATAAGCTGGCAATTTGAAACAAGATATAAACGGTGGGATAACAATAATCATGCCCGAACTTCGAATAGTTCTTTAAGGTTAGAGAGGCAGAGTAGTCTTGTGCATAATAAGGCAGAAAGATCTGAGTTTGAATCCTGTTTCTAGCTATGTTAATTTCCGTTTCCTCATCTGTCAAATGGAGATAATAACACAGTTATCCCTTCTATAACCCACACAGTTTAGATATATCTCAGGATCGGCATAAGAAATTAAATGAAAATTTTTGGCAAGTTTTGCGGAAGCTGCAAACAACATAGGAAGCCCAGCAGATGACACAGAAAAAGTTTAGAAACTCAGAAGTGCATAGAAAATATATACAGTATTACATAATATCAACATAGTTTAAATTATGATACCATAATAATTCAGACTTCTTTGGTATGAAGGGAGGGTCAACAAATTTTACATTGATTTTTCAGATCTTGGGGTGGGGGGGTGGGAGTAGAGGGTTTGGGGGGGGTGGGACTAAGCCTGTAACACTGCTGATATGGAAGGGATAACTGTACCTGAATTACCTGTCTTGAAGAATTGTTTTAAGGCTTAAATGAGATCACATACATAAAAAATGCTTTGTAAATTTTAAAATGCTAGAGAAATGGGAGTTATTATAGTCATACAACAGCTTCCCTACATAAAGGTCTCCCTAACCAATAGGCAAATGGCATAGTACATATTAACCAAGACTCATTGTAATGAAGCAAAATCTTGCTGTACTGGAGGCTGCAATATGGAAATACCAATCCCCTCCACATTCTCATTGGTAGATGTCAATGGTCACTGGGCAGGCCTGAAACAGCATCAGGGTGCCCCAAGGAGCACTTTCCCACCCCAGCTGGAAGGAGAAACTATGTGAACATTGATGTTTATTGGCTTCTCTTCACTGGGACTGGGGCGAGTTACAAGGAGAAGGTGTGAAATCGTATTGGACACAGGTAAAGTGTTACAGTGTGTGAAAGGAGCTCCTGCTCCTATTCTCAGACTCTCTCAGACCCAACACTGATTGGGAGAGGCATTTGGGGACATTTTTCACTTGCCTTTGTTTCACTCATCAGAAGAGAAAACTTGAGCCTTTGGGGTAGAGGAAGTGAGAAATTGGGTTTGTATGGGAGTAAGTGTTAGTATTACAGATATTATTTTGTCTCAGTTCTCTGCAAAGTCCCAGTTTAGGCTTTTGGAAGTTGAATTTTGATTACCTGAGAATAGATCTCAACTTGGTAATTTAGCTTCTATGGAACTAACTATTCCCTGTGATGTTATTTCATCTAACTTTTTTTTGTGTGTGTATGGAACTAATAACTGCATTAGTTGGAGTGTATCTCTACATTCTCCAATTTGATTTCTGCAATAACTTAATAAGGCAGATGGGGAAAATCATTATTATTATCCCTAGCACATAATATAGTGCCTCACACATAGTAGGCATTTAATAAAATGTTGACTGAATTGAAACAGGATTACTATAAAGAGATTATTATAGACATGTTTACCTAGATTTTGGCAAGACACTTAACAATATCTACTAGGCCATTCTAGTGGAAAACATGAAGATATCTGCACTAGATAAGAGTATAATTAGGTGAATTTAGAACTGACAAAATGACTGAATGCAAAGAGAAGGCATTAATGGTTAGATGCAAACTTAAAACAAAGGGGCCTTAACCTGAAGTTCATGGACCTCTCCAAGAGATCTTTGTAAAGAGTTTGGGTATTCCATTACCTTGAATGGCAAAGACAAATTATGTCTTCTTTTTCACTAACCTCTAACTGAAATTTAGCATTTCAACCAATTATTTAAAAACATAATTTTGCGAAGGTGTCTTTATACTTTTCCAGATTGTCAGAGGAGTTCATGACATAAAAACACGTATGAACCCCTGACTTGCATGTCTATTGTAAGTTGGAGTGGAGAAACCCACTTGGTTTTGTGCTGTTTAACATTTTTTATCACTGACTTGGATAAAGGTATAAATACCATATTTATGTCTTTTTGTAAATTAATTTTTTTTGTAATCATAAGCTTGGCAAATAGCAACAACCGTTAACATTACTGAATACAAATAAGAGCAGGAAATAGGATTGTATATAAAACCAAAAATTTCTATAAAAATATTGTTTTGTTTGAAAAAGCATATAACAGATTCAACACATTAGTTCTAAAGATGCCATCCTTGTCTTCTTAGCCCTCTGAGTTTACTTCCAGTCTCTTCTATACACTTAAGAAATTTTTCTTTTTTTCTTTGTAAGGAGTCATCACTAACCTTCCTGTCCTCCATACTAATTCTCCCCTCCCTCCCAAACTACTTTTTTTTTTAATAATAAATAACCCTAGCCAAGTAAAACAACTATATAAACTGAACATTTCTGAAGGGGTATGTTGCATTCTGCACCTCTAATCTATCATCTCTCAGACAATACCCTGACTAAATTTGCAGATGACAGAAAGCTGGGAGGGACAGTTAACATGTTGAATGGAAGAATAAAAAAAATTTTTTAAAAAATTACCACAGGCTAGAATATTGGGCCAAATCTAAGCATAGAAATTGAACAAGATCAATGTAAAATCATACACTTGTGGTAAAAAAATCAAATTCACAAGTATGTTACAACATTTTATTTGAAAAAAAGATCTGGAGGTTAATTCAATTTATGACATTATATGCCAAAAAAAGAATTCTTTATTAGGTTCAATCAATCAATCAACAAGTATTTATTAAGTGTTTACTATGTGCCAGGCAATGTGTTAAGCACTGGGATATAAAGAAAAAGCAAAGCCAGTCTCTCATACAGCTTATATTCTAATAGGAGAGACAATAAGTATGTGTTTAAGTGCATATACAAGGTATATGGGTGGCTAGGTGGTGCAGTGGATAGAGCACCAAGCCTGGAGTCAGAAATACTCGTTTTCCTGAATTCCAATCTGGCCTCAGACTTTTCGTAGCTATGTGACCCTGGGCAAGTCACTTAACCCTGTTTGCCTCAGTTTCTTCATCTGTAAAATGAGCTAGAGAAGGAAATGGCAAACCACTCCAATATCTTTGCCAAGAAATTGCTGAATGGGGTCACAAGGAGTCAGATACAACTGAAATGACTGAACAAGTAAGCAACAAGACACATATATACCAGAAGGAAGGTAACTTTAGAAAGGAAGGCAAAATACCTAGGGGGACCAAGAAAGACCTCCCACAGAAAGTGATGTTTGAGCTGAATCTTGAAGGAAGCTGGGAACTGTAAAGAGCAGAAGTGAAGAAGGATAGAATTCCAGGTCAAGGGAACAGCCAATATGAAGGCACAGTGATGGAAGATGGTGCATCACGTGTGAAGAACCCAAGTGGTCAAGTATGGAAGGACCATAGAGTGCATGGAGGAAAATAACACGTAAAGAAGACTGACTCAAATATTTACGAGACAAGTGAAAAGTGTATGACCCTAGATAAGTCATTTAACCTCTCTCAGCCTCATTTTTCTCATCTGTAAAATGGAGATAATCATAGCACTTTGCTGTGAGGATAAAAGAAGATTATATTTGTAAATTGTTTTGCAAACCTAAAGCATTATATGTGTGCTATCATCATCATTATCCTTATGAAAAGCAACTTTGGAAAACTTCAGAACTCTGATGAATGTAGTGAACAACCATGACTCCAGAGAACCTATGATGAATCAGCATTCTGTCTCTTGACAGAAAGGTGATAGACTAGGGGTACAGAATGATATAGCCATTGTATAGAAATGTTTTGCTTGACTGTATTTGTTAAAAATTTATTTTTTAAAATTTGTTTGAGGGGCAGATGTATAGGAGAGAGGGAATAATAGTAACACCTAAAAAAGAAGAAAAGAGCATTAATTATAATGTATTATGGCATAAATGTTATGCATAATTAATTATAAAACACAAAAGAAAGCAGAATGGGTTTCAGAGACACAAGATAGCATTAGAATTTCCATGTTAAATTTATTTTATATGTACATATATGTATGTATATACACATACAAGCCGTATATAATTGAGATTCATGGTTTTATATGCAATTCTCCTTTCTGTTCTTCCTCATCTATGGAATGATCCTGTTTGTTTTTGTTCATCAAGTTCATAAAATACATTTAAAACAAAGATGCTGCAAAAAAATAATAATAATTAAGACTGAAAAGACAGAAAGGTTGAGGTGGAGAAAGGTTCAGGTTGAGAAACGGCTTTAAATGCCAAATTTCTTAGAGGTTATAGGGAAACACTAGAGTTTATTGAATAGGGGCTAACATGCATGGTCAGACCAAAGCTTTAGGAAAATCACTTTTGTATCTACGTGGTAAATGGGTTAGAGTGGGGAAAAAGGCTTGAGGCAGGGAGATCAGTTAGGAGGCTGTGAGTGAAGAAAAGAAGACTGATTTGAGAGATTTTGTGGAGAAAGAGACAACAGGGATTGGACAACTGATTGGATATGTGAAGTGAGATTGAGGAGCTAAGGATGACACTGAGGTTGTGACCCTGAGTGACTAGGAAGATGGTGGTACCTTTGAAAGAAAGAAAGAAGTTTGGAAGAAAAGTTTATGTTTTGGTTATATTGGGTTTGAGGTACCTCTGGGGTATCTAGTTCAAAATATCCAATAGAGAATTGGAGATGTGAGCCTAAACTAGGGCTGGCTATGAAGATCTGGGAATCATCTGCATAGATATAATGAAGGCAACTGGACAATGAATCCAATTCTTAGGAGCATGAGAATCTTGCTCAGCTATAAAGTGAGTAGCTTGGAGTGTGACTCTTTCCTGTCTGTCTGGTGTTCCAGAAGGAGGTTGAGTTAATGTGGGTCTCTGGGTGGGGAAGGGGCCTTGGGCTGAAATCACATGGCCCTGCTGTTGCTTCTCTCATTGTTGTTTCTGTCCTTTGCTATTATTAGGTGAAGGAGTACCATGACCTGGTGAGCTTTTGAAAGAGCAAAATGGCAAGCCATCAGAGGCCCAGGAGTCCAGATGAGGATTTGATGGAAACCAGATGGTGATGAGTGAAATACTGAGCAACCTGCTAGGCCCAGCCCAGAGTTAACTGAGGCATATATTCATCCAGTGGCTATGCTCATTTGGAAGCAAACTTGGTGAGACCAAGGCTACGGAGAAACGGTTTAAATTTGAGTCTATTTTTCCTATGGACTAGTATGGTTTAGGGGAGATCATGTCCCCAAGTGCTGAGAGGAGATGTCCTTCTGTTCTTGCTATATCTTCAAAGTAAATATCCCTGCTTAAAAGTTATATGATTTTAAATGGCTAAATGGAAATGGGTGGTAATCAGTGGCAATTAACAATGGAAAGAATACACTGGAACAAGGTCCTGAGCTAATAACATCAGAGAAATATTACCACACCCCCTTCAAGGATAGATAGTACCCTAGAATCTTGTGAGGCAGGGGAGATGTAGTTAGCCTTGCTGGAAGAGTTAACTCATGGGAGCAGATAAGATCACTTAGTAAGAGAGTATAGAGGGAAAAGAAAAAAATGAGCCTTGGACAGAGTTATGAGGGATAGCTATGATTAGTGTATACGACATGAATGAAGAACCAGCAATGTGGAGTAAGGTGTGGTCAGGCAGATAGGAGAACCAGTAGGGAACAGGAACACAAAAACCCAGAGAGGAGAGAGTTTCCAGGAGGAAAATGCTGCCAAGAGTATCCAGTACTGCTAAGAGGTCAGGAAGGTTAAGGATTGGAAAAAAGGCCATTTGTTTCATTTAGAGATCATTGATAATTTGGAAGAGAGATGTTTCAGTTAAATGATCAAGTCAGAAGCCAGGTTACTGAAAGTTCAGAAGCAAGTAAAAAGAAAGGAAGTGAAGGCACTAAGTGTAGCTACCTTTTCCTCAAGGAGTTTGTCTAAAGAAGGGAGGAGATATGATTAGCAGAATTCTACTGTGGATTTTTTCAGAATGGGGGAGAGAGATGTTTGTGGGCAATCGGAGATGAACCAATAGATAGGAAGAAATTGAAGATTAGAGGGGGGATAATAATGGGATGATCAGTTAGAGAAGGTCGGAGGGAATAGGATCAAGGTTACTTGTAAAGGGGTTGGCCTTGGCAATAAGCAGAAGGGGCCATTTCATTATCAGGAAATCAAGTGTAGGAGGAGATACTGGGGGATGACATTAAAGGAATATAAGAGTCAAACAGGAGAAGGAGCTTACACTGAATGGTCTTTGCTTTTTCAGGTAAAGATTTTGGCTGAGTGGATACAGATAAAAGGGGCAAGGAAGGCTTGAGGAGAGATGAGAGAAGGTTGGGAATAATTTCTGTGGGGAGTGAGATAGGAAATCAGTTGTTTGCCTTTCATTCTGGAGGAAGACCAATGACATGAGGAGGGCAATGTCTTGACTTGCAAGTGAATTGGATTCAGGTGAGACTGAGCTGAGCAAATTCATTAGCTTCACTCTCTCTTCCAGAGTCATGGGAGTCCAGTGGCTAGACATAGGTCAAGACCCCAGGCAATGGCTCCAGATGCAGTAGGAGACCATGGACTTTTTAAATTAAGGTCTTTCCCAGATCTCAGTTTGTTTGAGGCAACACCCATTCAATAATTAAAGAGCAGATAAGAATTGAAGCAAAAATTTGCCTTGACAAAAGAATCAGTCTGGGCAGGGAAGACCTCCAGAGTTTCTAGCCAAAACAGAAACAGTTGCCACTTATGCTCATTCTGAGCCACCAAGAATTGCCTTGTTGCTGGAAAGACCCAGTTAATGTTAGGTAATATAAATTTGTAGTCTTGCTACAAATAAATAAGTACTGTTGAATGATTTCCTTTGATTCCTTTCCATAGAAGATGAATAGGCTTGAAGGAAGAGGATAAGGGCTGTAATCCAGGTTTGAAATGATTCACCAAGGGGTTAATATTGGGAGAGGAAGAAAGTGTAGTGAGCACAGGGGTAATCAACTTGGAAGATGATGAAGGTTGGAGATTACAGTGGGGATAATAAATAGGGTTGGGGTGGTAAGGCATAGGGAGATATAGAAAGATAGAATGTTATGATTAGGTAAAGGAATTTTGGAGTTCTTGATGTGGAAGTGGAAAATATGTAGGTGATGGGAACATAAACGATATAATCATTTCCTGTGTGTGGCTGAAGTAGAGTGGAGGAGTCAGTCATGGGGGCTGATGGATTGAGGAAATGGAATGTTAAAAATATTTGAGGGAATATTAACATTTTTTGTTAAAGTCCCCCTAGAATGATGGTAAGAGTTGGGGTAGAGGTGAAGACTGTGAGCCAGACACTGAACTCATTTAGAAAGACAGAATGTCAGTTGCCAGGATAACAGCTGCCAGGATATTGATTGGATAATGAATTTGGATAGAGTGAACTTCAGAGAACACAGTGTTATTCTAAGAGGGAAGGTATGGAAATCACAGTGGGGAACAAGGAGTAAGTACCACATTTTAGGAAAGATATAGATCAGCCTCAGCACATCCAGAGGAGAGTATCTAGGATGGTGAAAGGACTAGAGAGGATCAGTTGGAGAAACCAGGGTTGTTTAGCCTGGGGAATAGCTGTTTCAATCATTGTTAGTTATTCAGTTATCATCCCAGAGGATGACTGTTTCAGTTATTGTTTTTGTTATCATTGTTGTTGTTATCATTGCTATTATTAGTATTATTACTGCATGAGAGTTTAAAGAGCTGAATAACATTTCAAAATAATTTACTATTGTATCTGAGGCCCCAAAGTAACATGAAAGTCCTAAATAAGTATAATATTTAATTTTTTAAAAAATAAAGTGGAATTAAGTTGGGAATTGATGAAAATGGAATGAACATCTAAAATGATGCTTAATCCAAAATCCATTTAAATATAGAATTGGAATATGGTTTTAGATATTTGAATGTTAGCATATCTGGTACTGATATTTGGGGATTTAGAATATTTCAAATTAAACAGTGAAGCAAAACAATAAAGGTCTAATTCAGGAGGGGTGTACTGAAACCAGTTCAAAAACAGCTAAAGAGCAGATTGTTGAATTTCCAGTGTGAGAATTTATACCTCAGGAATCAGCAAACCTTTCTACAAGCCAGGGAGTAGTTTATTGTTTTGTTGATTATTTAGGAGAAAATATTAATAATGAAGACTAACTTAAGGCGAGTTATGGGTACTCTTCTCCTTCTAGAAAGCTACTTGTTAAACATTTAGCAACATATCAGGGGGCTAGAAATTGACCTGACTTCTTTGTCTTATCCTCCTTTACAAGATTGTTCTCCTTACTCCATTGCTATGATGGACAATATCACTTCTGAGGCTGATACAATATATTAATATAAAAGCTAGGCAGTATGATCTCAATAAGGGCGCTGATTTGCATCTACTTAAAGGATCAATAGGCAGCATAGTAGAAAGGAAGCAGTTGATACAGTTGAAAGAACACTGAACCTTAAGTTAGGAAACCTCTCTTCTGAACTCATCACAAGTATGTCATGTAACGCCTTTGTATTGTAGTTACTTGTACACGTATCTTATCTCTTTCTAGGCTACAACCATGAGTTCAGGGTCTATGTCTTGTTATTTGTAGCCTCTACAATACCTAGCATAGCACCTTTTGCTTAGCAAGTTCTTGCTAATGAATAGTTATTGAATGAATTGGACCCAGATTCTTTCTAATCCTAGTTCTACTGCTAATTGTTTATCCTGGGACTAGTAACCTGTGACCCTGTTGTCCCCATAAGGTCTCAGCTTCCTCATCTACAGATGAAAGCATTGGCCTAGGTAATTTTGAAGGTCCCTTCCAGATTGGGCATAACTTTGAATCATAGGGCCTGAGTTCTGCTCCTAGCCCTGTTACCTATTATTTGTGTGACCTTGGGCAAACTACTTAATCTCTTTAGACCTCAGTTTCCTCATCTGTAGAATGAAGGGGTTGAACTAGATGATCTCTGAGGTCTTTTTCATCCTGAGATCCGTGGGCTTAATTTCTATGATTTCATATTAAAAAGGTCTTTCCCTTTAACCCATACAGAGCTAGAGCAAACCTAGATTCTGATTTTATCAATAAAAGTCTTGATTTTTCAGGGTTGGAGACACATCAGTAATTATGGCAACAACTCATTAAATATAAACTGGACAGAAGGCCAGTCTAAATTAGATGAATTATAGAAAAATTTGAATTTATAATGCAATGACTTTCAGCTATATACAATAATTCAAATTAGACTAAACAAAGAGTTTACTAATAGAGAATTCCAAAGGAAATTCACTTTGATAAGCATATAATAATATGTTGATTGTTTTCATTTAAATAGTGCATCTGGGATGCTTAAACATTCCTGAAAACAGTATAATTCCAACTACTTTTTTTGAGGCAATTGGAATTAAGTGACTTGCCCAAGGTCACAGAGCTACTGAGTTTCTGAGGCTGGATTTGAACCTAGGTCCTCCTGACTCCAGGGCTGGTGGTCTATCCACTATGTCACCTAGCTACTTCTATTTTCAACTATTTTAAGCATTCTTGCTTAAAATGTTAATTTATATTATGGAGATGATGTTATTGAAGTGAAGTGTATTGGATGTCTGTGCTGGGGAGACCTACCTCAGTGTTCATCATTTGTGGTGGTAACCTTTGGTTCTTGAACTCTCGAAGGCTATCTCAATTGAGGGCAAACTCTGTCAGGTCCTACCAACTTGGAAAGGCTTTGTGAATAAAAAGGAAATTGGATTTAGATCAGTTTCATGACCAATCTTGGTACCAGAGGACAGATGTCCTTTTTTCATCTTGGAAGAGAAGTAGAAGGCTTCAGGGACAGAATGTTGCAAACGCTATCAGATGTCAACTTTCAAAGAAGATGTGTATTTTACATAGTGATAAAAAAAAAGCCTAAAATAATATAAATTCTAAAACTTAGGGCTGAAAATAATCTAAAAATTCAAAGAAATTATTGTTATTGCTATAAGAGAGCTTAATATGTGAAATCATCTTGTTCCCTGCTAGGTTCTTTGACTCCAAATACAATGCCTTTATTGATGTTCCATTTTGCACAACATAGGAATTTCATTAATTAGGTCCTTCTAGCCTTTGGAACTAATTGAGTCCAGCTCTCTTCTTTTCTATTTAGACGTAACTAAATAACT